GAGGGAACTTTACGATACGTTCGGTAAAAAATATCTGCCAGATCCTTGGAAAGGAGCCGAGTAATATTTCACAGATAAGAGGAATGGAACAAGGAAACAGCTCGCGGTGCGCAGCGTGCACTTTTCCAACAAAAGAAAAGGACCTTATCCGCGACGGCGGTTATTCGATCGCGAGGACCATCCTTTAGGAGGATTTTTCTAACTCGTGTCTGCCGGAAGCATCCGTGGAAAATATTCTTCTGGGATAGCTCGCGTTGGCTAAAGCTTTCTGCTGTTTATCGGTTTAGCCAATGGCGTTCCCTGTCGCGGAACTTCTCCGTCACGTGTACGCCTTTCGTTCCGCTCTTTACCAGCTGATATCACGTACCGGTGAGACAATTTCCACGGGAAACATAAATCAGCGGAAAGTATAGTACACCGTGGACCAGATTCGCGAGGGATGCTTTGATTTATGCCGGGACACGTGTAGCTTTCGAATTTTCAGATGATTACTTTTCTTGACCTGTGGCTTGGCGAAAGTCTTGAAACGTGAGTGGAAAAAGTACGTCTACAGGTTGCGAGTTGGGGGACTGATTCGTATAAAGGAATTTCAAGTTAATCCTCTGTTTAAAGACAACGAAAGTCATTTAACAAGTATATTCAAAGTTACACTGGCCCAAAGAGGGTTGAATACTTATTTACCAAGAAAGAATGCACCCGTAAAAAAACAACCACATCTGCACAACGATATGCAGAGCTCGCCAGATGGTTCGTCCTGCCTTCTCCAGCTGGTAAATGATGAGACCCAGCCGGCAAGAATGATATTTCCATTGGACGTTTAATATCGAGCTGAGTGGTAACGAGTGAAACGAAGAGGAAATACACGCGCAGAGGATACCGAAGCTAACGGAAAAAGCCAGCTCGAAGGAAGTCCGAAGTCGTGAAATAGGGAGCCTGCAAAAAGGACCGGCGTTGTTGATCGACAAATAAAGGATGGCTCTGCAGATGAGGTCGGTGGGTTTCCCTCATCTTTGCGCCCAGGCGCTGGTAATGATCTACCGAGTTGCGATAGCTTTTCCAGCTCTTTTTTTTCTGTTTACAAAATTCGGTACCGCGAGAAAAACTTACGCGACATTCTTTGGAGCGAGACTTTTCCAGCGTTCAACCTCTAACTTTCTCCTCTGGCTTATGATAACAACGAGCTAACCTTTGAATCGTTTATTTTTGAAGACATGGAAGAATAGAAGAAATATTTGTGTTCCACTAGTTCTTCGAATGAAAATTGTGAGATGCCCGTGGAATAATTTAATTTCAATTTCACGACCCATAAAATTACCTAGCTTTCTATTTTCTGCGAGCCAACCGGTACTCTTGGTTAATCGAATTATAAGTTTGGATGATCAATACAATTAGCAAGAGTGCCTGTGAGATGGGAAGCCACTGAAAAGGCTGGAATAGTTTTCCAATACACCGATAAAACATTTGGAGAAAGTAAACAATTTATTGTTGCAATCGAACTGTCTGTAAAAGCTCAAAAGGGAATAAAATTTTTACTGTACGAAAGGTCTGTGGCTGAATTATGCTTTGTTTCACTCGATGCTGCGACTTTCTAATCGAGAGATACTTTGCTGATCCAAAACAAAAAATAGATTTATTCGTATTGCAATGTGATTGTGCTCAATAAGGCATGTTCTGGTCTGACTAATGCCTCTGCGACGCGAGTTAGCGAGATTTAGAGAGCAGAGAAAAATTTAGAGCCACATAGTGCCTACAAAAAGTTAGAAAAAAAAGTGCTCAGTTAAAATAGGTACGCGAGACAACCTTGTCGTCGTAATATGCTATTTTCTGCTCCAGTAATGCGCTTTAAATTCGTACCTATTCGTCAAGTATCATACTAAGAAATAAAAGATGATTACTGGCGAAATAATTTATTCGATAGGCACGTTTATTCGATGGAATAAAAATGTTTTATTACGAGAGATTTTGTTTAATCGTTGTAAATGAAAATTTTAATTTTTAATTTTTATTCAACGAATGAGGGGCGAATATCGTGTCTTTTATTCGAAGTACCTATTTAGAGGCGAATTTCGTCCGATCTCAGAGTCCTCGCGGTACCAAGGGTTAATTGTCAACTCGTTCTAGATGTCAACGCGTTAACTTCGATATCGAATTAACACTCGACACGCTGGCACGGTGGTTTGCATACAATTTTATGCACATCGTAAATGGCCAGTTAATTGAACTAGAACGTGGACGACTCCTTCACGAGGATAATTACATCGTCAAGTTGCACACAAGCTTCGCTCGCGTCAAATATGAAGTGAACGAAGCGTGCTGGAAATTAACGCGTCGCGTCATCGATGCCTATTTGAACTGTTGTATTTAATTAATCGACTGGCGTACACGAAGCTCGACGATCGCGATGCGATTCACTCGCAGGATTGTCAAATTATTTCTCACAGAGAAAAGTGCGAAAAATGAACAAATAAAAGGAAAGCAGACAAAATAATTTCAAGCGAAGATAATACACGTATCGTCGCGCAATTAGTCATCGGAAAATATTCGCCAGCTCGTTTCGTAGCTCGCGCCTCTGTTTCGATCGGTGCCCTTTAATTTCACAGGCTTAAACTCTGAATCTCGGGTGGGTCAACGAGAAATTGCATTGCACGCTCGTGAACACAAGACGCATCGTTTGGTCCCAACGATCCTCCAGAAAACGAAATCTGCAGGGGTTGACAAGGCCTCTCCGTCGCCGTGAAAATGTCGCGATAAATAATGTTACCGAGCCTCTTCGCTCTTTTCAAACCAGAACTCGGAGCTTATCGCGATGTGGCCATTGTGTTTTCACGATAGTTGTTGCCCTAGTCACGGTACGCTATCGAATCGACCAACAGTACCGTCTGGCACTGTGATCGCTTTGGGTAATTGATCGGGAGTTACACCGATTATTAATTTTTGTTATTTTAGAGAAAGATACGTAAAATTTAGTGACCGCGAAGCTGGGAGTAGAAGGATGAGTTTAGCATCGGAATATCTTCGACAAGTATTTAAATCCGATTTCCTCAACAATGAAATATTTGAAAAATTCATTTAGTCTTCATTTCTCATTTATTTTTCATTTGTGCACGAGGAACCACCCTTCCAATTATGTTGTGCCAACGTTCCTCCACTACACGTTCTAAATGTATAGAAATTTGAAAGAAAAAATGATAGTAAATTCTAGTTTTTCGTTGAAATAATTGAAATAGAAATTTGTGCAATATATATTACACTGTAAACGCCTGGCCACGTTTCCAATGCCCACAACAATGCCCTCAACTTTTTAAATTGAATTCGCGACGATGAAATCTCGCGACACACGGCGATCTGATGTCCTTTAATTGAACAGTACGGAAACAGAAAGTTCGGCAGGCATGGACGATGCGCTGGGAGTGAAAAGTGCGCTTTTAAAGTGATTGCCAAAGGGGCGAACGAAATACCACCGACCTAATTCTTAACAATACAGGAAAGATCCTCCGGTGGAAAGCGCAACTTTTACAATAAAACTTTCTAATCAGCCCGCGAATACCTGCTGCCTTCGTTTCGTTCGACAGAAATCAGACTGCTAGGTGTATACATGTCTCCGACATTTAACAACGATCGAGTTCATCGAAGGGACTGGCCTGAATGAACGCTGAAGAAGGTGGCAAAATGAGAAATCTATCAATCCTTGGTCGAGTGGACTAATGGAGGATGGGATCGTCTTGAAAGTTCCGAAGCAATTTATCTATTTGGTATATTCTTTCATTCATTCACCGCGAATAAATTCAATTTACGAGTCCCCCTCGTTTCACCGAATTTTCTGCCAAGCCACGACTTACTCTCGTAAATTATTAAACACTTTCCCCGAAAGAAGGTACATCGTAGATAAATTTACGAACCAGTTTATTTCTCTTCTTTTTTCTTCGGTTTCAGCGACGATGTGCAAGGCGAGAAGCGCGAATTTATTTCCCCCGGTTGGATTATCGTCATCGCATCGAAGGACGATAAGTCGCGCGGGGAATTCCCACGCCTAAGTGCCACCTTTTTCCCTCACAAATATCTTTGCTCGCGGCAAGATAAATCCGCGCTATTTTAGACAAAACTAGGGGCCTCTTTTATAGAGGTGCGTTCGTTTTCTCCAATCCCTGATATTCTCGGAATTTTCCGGCGTAAACGTGAAACATTTTCCCTCGAATTTTTATGTTCATACACGGTCGAAGGGAATGTAAGATATTTTGTCACCGGAATTCGACACGAAATATGGAAAGAGTTTACAGCTGTCTAGGAGATAATGTATGGCCGCTCCGAAGGAAAAGTCTCCATGTTTGTAATTTTATGTGGATGCCATAAGTTTGTATGACGACGAGTAGTCGTAAAATTTTGTTCCTTAATGTTAATGATTATACTTGAACGTTAAAATTTCAGGCAATTACGAATGAAAGAGAACGTGTAAAAAAAAATATTTAAACTACTGGCGTTTTTATGTATCTATAAAATCCTCAGGCTAAACTTTGGATAACTTTTTTACGTTACGGGCTAAATTGAACGAATTTAGGTTTCAGAATGATTAAGTTATTAGGACAATTTCACATTATAAAGAAAGCATTTTTCATTGGCTAAAATGTACTTGAAACTTTTCACTTCTTCGTGCTTCGAAACTTCTCTCCATAAGTTTTTAAATTGTCCTCATTGAAGAAGAGGGATAACTTTATTTTCGACGGGGAAAATCACTCCCGTTTTAAATTAGAACAATGTCAGGCTCGTTCGAAAACTTGTCATAAGTACTAAAAATTGTACGTAATTTTAAAAAAAAATTCGACAGAAAAATAAGCAAAACAAAAAATAAACAGAAACCGAGTGAATTAAACTAACGTAAATCATTCGAACGATCCCTGAAATTAGGAGACGCTGCTGCACCAAACTATTTTTACTAAATTAAAATTAGTAACTATTTTATATAATGTAATACATTCTCTATGATAAATTCTCCACAGACTCACCTATTATGCTCGATCTTCGCAGATTGGAGGTTCCATCGGTGACGTTGTAATGGTCCCCTCATCGCACAGTCACGAGAACCAAACGATGAACGCTGATGATGAGTTCGTCGAAATCCTTTCAATCGATCCCATTGTGAAATCACGGAAGCTCGTGTCTCGAGTCTGGACGAGCGGGAACCCGTCGAAAATGAGAAAACTTGGCGCACAATGATCGGTCACAAAACTTTCCAAAGACACGAGAAGCACGTGGCGAAGCCACGACGCGTACTGGCTGCCTCGTACAGGACAGCTGACGAAGGGTGGCAGCTCCGCACTTGCCGCTACCCTCTTTCTCTGGTACACTGATCCTCTTCCTCGTGCTTTCATGCTCGTTCCAACCCCTCTCCCTCTCTCTCTCTCTCTCTCTCTCTACTACTGTCGTCACCCCACCACAAACTGCCACCACTTTTAGGAAGTTGGTCAAACACATAGTTCTTCGAGGACCGTTTCTTCCCTCGATGATTCGATATTGAATGTTCTTCATGGACCACCGACCACCAGTCACCCACGTGATCGAAACTTCCGCATTTATTAATTTTCTTTTTAACTACCCTTTCAACTACGAACTTCTCATTCGCGGATTTTTCCATCGGGACTATCATCCCTTATTTACTTCCCTTTTCTTTTGGCGCGTTATATTCACTGCAGGCTTCCAAATTCTCTTGTTCTGATTATCTAAAAACAAATAAAATTATTAGACAATTGTATGTATACATTGTTTGTAATTTTTTTTTTTTTTTTTTTGCAAACAATCAACCATTCTTCTTAATTTTACTTTCCAGTGAATTTTGACCGATTCAGTCAAGTAATCCTCAACCTATAATCAAACATATTACAATGTAATCGTCTTCGTTAATTTAGTCGCATCCCTTTTTTTATTATTATTATTATTATTATTATTATCCTCAGTTCATTCAGAAGGCACTCGTGGTGTCCAAGTAGCAGAGCGGCCACTCTCTCGACGGCAAAGGTGGGTTTTAACAAGACTTCTCCGCAGCTTACAAAGAGTAGTTCCCACTAATCAGAAAACAACTCGAGAGTGGCCGCGGAACAATTTCCAAGAATTCATTTCAGCTCAAGACTCGCTCCTTGATAGCCTAGATTTAAATCCACTTGGTTTTAAACTATAATTAGAGCCTTCAAGACTTCTCATAATAATTCCTACCTAAAATATCTTTCCAACCAACCTGTCATTGCAACGATTAAGTATGTTACTCGTAATAGTGTCATTTATTAGAACGTATGAACTTTTTCGAGACTGTTTTTGATGCGAATCATGTATTCTGAAAATGTATTCGTCGTGACCATTGAAGCAGTGCGATAGAAACGGAGTGAGAATAGCACAATTGTAAGTAGGAGGCAACAAGTGGCGGTAACCAAGAAGCGTCGAGCTAAAATTAGAACAGTCGGATTCTGTTTTAAGAATTGGAGGTCCTAACAATCATTCCTATTGTCAAACGTGTTTATTGTAGCACCTTTCTTTATTACAATACTCTATTTTATTTCTATTTCATCCAATCTATCTATTTCGAACAAGTAAATGCAAAACAACCAAGCTTTTAATTGAGCACGATAGTAAAATTATAAATTGAAGAATATTTTCAGACTTTAACGAAAGTGAATCATGCATATTATTATTACTTCCTCTGCTTCAAATTTTAAATTATTATTTTTTCCATATAGTATTCGTTTAAATGTTAATAATAATCACGGTTCAGGAATCGGTAGAGGGTGAATTCGTTCCAGGAGGAAGAGATTTCGCGGTGAAAGATCCATTGTTGACAGTGCATTAGCAGTCTCCTGCGGTACTACGGCACTCCATTCAACCCCGGAGTTTTCTCGATACCCACTTCACAATGGGATTATCGATACCAGGCCTTGAACGGAAGTTATTAGAATCCGACAAACCTTGTCGAAGGTACGCACGCTATGAAAATTAAGGGGAAAACAATCTCTGAATCTGAACGAATAATTTTCGTCTGAAAATCTCAGTCGTTATTTTTCTAACTCTAGTTTAAGAGGAAATATTTACTCGTCGTTTTGCTACGTTCGACAAACAATTTTCCAAGTTCGAGAAGGTACCAGGGGAAGATTGACGACGATATTTAACAATTTAATTAAAAGAGCGTAAAAGTGTTCTTCGCAAAAGGACGCTTAAGAAAAAGGTTATCGAGGAGAGGCTGAAGAAAAAGGATATCAGCGATTTTAACGGAAGATAACCACATCATCGATGAACTATCGTGGGTTAAAGTTCCTCTTCTATCGGCAATTAGGTTTTAATAGGCTATAAATAGTCTTAAAATGCACTCGCTTAACATGTTTCACATAAAATTTGATAATTAAATATGTTTTATGAAAGACAAAATTTTAAATCTCCTCTAGATTCGTTGTTGAACAATTGGCATGGATTCATTAGTCACTGCTGTAACGTAGAGATATACGACGTGATATGACATCTGTAAAATGATGGTGGGAGTTCGGAAAAGGGTCGTTTATGGTTTTCATCTTCGTGATGCATCGTGTCCAGGGCACCGAGTGACGATGAGTAACGATGACGCGATATTTCCTGCAGAGATCGAACCCGGAACATTGATAACCGTTCACACGTACACTATACATATACATTAGGATGTGTCGTTTTAGAGCAATATTTTTTTCAAGTGCTTATCGAGAAACTGATAGTAGATTATGAATGTAGTTGATATAAATGATAAAATTCTGAAAATTTGTTAAAAATAACAGCCTCTTGGAATGTCTTTACTCGCTTACCTCCTCGAGAACTTTTCCACTCCTCGGCATCTCGGACGCAGAATTCCACAGTATGCAATGAAGTATCTACTTTGTTCGTCGAATATATTTGAAAAGCTGAATCTGTTGAGTGAACACTTACAAGAAAACGCGAAACGCGTAATCTTGTGTTTTCTAAAGGGATTTCTTCTTGGCGCTTCCCTCGGAAAACTCCAGCTACTCTGGAATAATTTAAGACGTGTCGCGAGTTAACGTGGTTTTCCATCAAATGGCTACGCTTGACACAAAATTGCAAGATGATGACCTTCGTATACAGGGTGGTACCGGGAACTGGGACATGTTCTGAAAAACGTTGACTTCTAGAAAAACCCGACACCACGCCATTTTCTAATATATCTCGGTTAAAAATTTGAAAGAATTTTCTTCTAAATGTATTCGTGCATTGAAATCTGAAATTTCATGTTGCACATTAGCTGTGCGACTTAAAGAGATCTTCTGCTTTGGAATTTAAAGAAACTGATCGATTTTTCGATACATATTCAAGAATAAAAAATACGCATGTTCCTGAAACGTATACAAATAATCACGCAAAGTTTAAAGAAGCTACTGGCAACGGTATTCGAGAGAGAAAATGATCGAGCGTCCCTTTTTAAAGTTCCAAGACAGACCATCCCCTTGAGTCAGACATAATCGTAAAGGGGTTGTAAAAGCGAAGTTAGATCCTCGTTTAGGGGTTCCTTGGCTGCGTGCTGACATTTCTGGATCACCTGCGTGTTCACGAGGGGGTTGATATAGCCGCGTAACCGCGATAAAAGATGTATGATGAAAAACAAGGATGGGGGTGGGAGCAACGAGTTAAACGGAGAAACTCCGCCTGAAGAGCACTCGAAGATGGCATCGTCAGCAATATTCAGGATCTTCTTTGTCCTACCCCCCACCACGGCCATCGTTCTCTCTTCCTCCCCCTACACTTTGACTTCGACCTCCAACGCGGCCCACCCTCTTTCGCCTTACATCCCCGATAACCTATATTCCAGCCGCGGAAATTCAAGGAAAGAATTTCTCTCTTAACCTGCATAGAGCAGTCGTTGATTTCCGTAAACGGTGGAACGAACTCGGTTACTCCCTTTGGCTAACTCCCCATGCAACGTCCTGTCCCCTCCCCCCTCTGTACCTAGAATTCGTCCAATTTCTGATGGCGACTCTGCGACGAACACTTCTTGGGAGTGAAGATGAGGGGGACGATGATTCGTAGTGGAGCGAGCATCTTTCTGAAAGCTTCGAGAATTTACTTGTGAGTCGATGACGAGGGATGGGAGGAACAACCCTTTTTCAACGATATTTCTTTTTAAGGGAGTTTTAGTTGTACCCGGTGATACCTTGTTTCTTTTAAATTCTTGTTTTTCGCGACTTTTGCATTATGTTTTTTATACTTTTTAAATGGTCTAGATAGGGGTGTGGAAAATCGAAAATAAAATTGAAATTGAACGAGAAGTAAAATTAAAATTAAAGTCGAATGAAAAGTAAAAGTAAAAGTAAAAGTGAAATAAAAATTGAATGAAAATCGTGAGAATCACTTTTTTGGAAGCATGGAACGGCCAAGAATGGAATACTTCGTCATCGTTGTGTAACAGCGTGGAGAACTGGACAAGGAATGAACGTCATTCGCGTTCGATGTAGATAATCGCGAATATTATTCTCCCTCGCACTTCGAATGCGTTTCTCGAGCCAAATACCAATAACATACAGCTCGGTGTATCATTACCGTATTCGTTTCGATCCACTCTGAAACACTAGGAGGAAGAAGTACCATGGTTCCATTTAAAAATGGAACTGGCACCTTTCCAGAGCTGTCCCAGCAAAATGGAAGGAAAATAACGAAAATTAACAAAAGAATCCCGATTAGAAGTGACAATACAAATTTTGCCATTTAATAAAACTAAAATTATATGCACACTTTGTAGAAACTTGAAGACTTTAGTCTCGTTCTATAATTCATACGATAGTCGTTTTATCGTTCAAATAAAAATAGTCTATGTCTACCTAGATAAAGAAATTTATGCAACTAGAATGACATTCGTGTGGCGATAATGAAATATTTTTCCAGTAGTCCGCTGTTATTAATAGATTATGTATCTCGTTTCCTAGAACACAAATGAACACTTTACATCTGCTAGTGTAATAAAAATTTCTTTACTTTTACGTGGATACTTCATATTTTGTTTCTGTAATATTATCTTTTTTCCTATGCTTTTCGTACTGTTTTACTCTTTGAAATTGAAGGGATCGTCGGAACTAGGCCGATTACTAGACGAATTACGTATCGTGCAACACACGTAGTTTCTTTTCATTGAGGATGACACAGAAAAACGAACAAAAGAGGTTACGCGTCTTAAAATTCTCATCTGAAAGCGTTTGATTTTGCAGGAAGTATTCTTTAGAAATGTAAATCTCCGACGAGAAAATAAACTTTTTCGAAATAAACTAAAATTATTTCTAAGTATTCACAATTCATGGGCTTACAACATATATATATTTTTTCATTCGTTTAATCTGCTTACGTGGCTTTGGTACTTTCGTTTGCTTCTGAAACATAATTCTAATTTAAGTGTTCGACAAAAGTGTCTTGAGTAGAATCGAAGATATTGGACTCTGGAATGGAATCGATAAGAAAGTTCGTCAATTTTCTCTTAATTAAGGATGAAGCTGCATCCCAGTTTATTGTGATTTGTCAACAGAGGATCCTAGGCAATCTAAAGTTCACGTAATCAATCCCACAATAATTGGAGCGAATTCGTCGTTAATTAATAATCATATTTAATATCCTATTATTATCTTAAAAAGAAGTAATTGGATTTAACATCGTATTAATTTTCTCTGCCATTTCGACTAAACTAAATGCAATAATCCATCCGTTTTAGAGAATAATCTAAATACACGGTTTCGGTTACGCGAACACTCCCCTTGTTTAACGACAGTTGTTCGAGCAATTAACACGTATCAACACAATCAACGCGCTCGAAAACTTGTCTCCCAAAATGTTTGGAAGTCCGATATTCCAGTAGAAGCTCTGTTTACTCGGTAAACGTATTTATTCGACGAACGTGCGCCTCGTTCTTTGTACTCGCGACAAATTCAATCAGATTTTTCCATTTTCTTTGACCAGACGATACTCATATTCCTCGTAAACCAAGCATTCATTATTATGTTAAATATATGTATATATACATATTCTTCGTTATATTTCTAAGTAAATATTTTAATCTCCATCTATTTTTATCCTTGCACACATTTCCATTTTTATATTTACGCCCCCCGATATGATAAAACTACGCTGAGCTGTTGGTGTTTCAGAAAGTGGTAGCCGTGAATGTATCATACAAGGTATGTCGCCACTTCCTGGTTCGCAGGCGGAAAATAAAGAAACTCACCGAGTGGAGTATTTACAAGCAGGGAGTATACAGTTTACAGAGGCCGTTTTATACGTGGTTTTGTGTCAAACCTTCAAGGATTCATTTCGCCAGATGATGAAGCAACCCGGGATTGAGAGCCTCCAGGAAAGTAGAAGACTTTCGTGAGCATCGCGGGCCAAGCAAACATGGAATATTGCAAATTAAACTCGACTTCGTATCTGGCCTAGCCGTGGCTTCTTGTCCTCTGCGAAATCATGAAACTATGATGAACCTGTTCCTCGAAACAAAGGGTTCCCCAAAAGGACAGAATTTTCTTCTAAAATAAAAGAATTGTATTTCATTGAAAGACAAAATCCTAGAATCTCTTTTGGAAAATCCTCTGCATCTTCCAATAAAATTTCCAAACTCCATTTCAACCCCATCCATTCGTGAAAGTCGTCACGATACGCGCCCTGTACGAAACCTATTTTATCCATGGAGAGATCTCAAGCCTGCAGATTCGTCTTCCTGTTTCCAAATTCCTTGGCTCCTCATCCCACATTTTTCCCATTGCTCCATCGCGTTTATCTCGCAGACGTCCTATCCCTCGGCACATCCTGAATCGCAAGTCTTGAGCTCAGTCTAGCGAAAATGGCGATAATCCTGCGACGATCGATCGCGCGACGCCTTCAAAAATTGTCGATATGTACAAAACTAAATGATAAACTGATTGTCTACCTGCACAAACCTAATCAGAGAAATAGGGATACAATAGCGAAAGCTTAGTGTTCCCGAGCTAGGCACTCTACAGTTTTTCTACCAATACTAATTGTAAGTGAAACTGAGTGGTTACAATGTAAAAAAAAGAAAACGAATTTTCGCATTATTTCTCTCTCGATCGACGCTGACGAGTAGCTTCCTACGTGGAAGTGTCCTTTCCAGACGAGCCGGAAATTGCGAACTGCATCGACGGAGATATGATGTGAAACGTCACTGCGGATAGGAGAGAATCTTTCCAAGTTCTTCAAGTCGTCTCGTTCAGCAGTCTTGACTTTGGCAGAGTGCCAGGAAACAACCTGGTTACCTGCAGAAGGACGTCGTCAAAAGGCTCCTAACAATGCATCTACGGTTTTGAATAACCATGTCCGATTATTTCCTTTGCTTCATTTCTTACGTGACGTGCTAATTAGCAAGCACGTGAATAATACAGAATACTATTTCACAGGATATCACGAAAAGAGAGGGTCATTCTAAAAGTCTTTGGAAGATCCTGCAGCCGCTATCAAGGATTGCGATACAATTGTAGTTAATGTAACATTAATATAATTCGTATGAAATTAGAGAGACTCGTTTGCTATTTGTACAAGCCAGTGGAGATCATTGTTAAATTTCCAGATTATTGAAACGTCCCGTCGATAAATAGCGGGGATTCGAGTTGATGAATAGACGCGATTCGTCTTGAGAAATCACTCGAGATCGTTCTGTGACGGGACAGCCATTTGTGCTGTACTCCGTCGTAAAATTCCCGTGAATTCGTAAATACCTTTCATTGTAACATTTTACATGGATTCGAAGCTAAATTTTATAGCTAATGAAACGATCTTTAGACAGAGAAAAATTAATTTTCTCTTCGATTTAACAAACAAAGTTTTATATCTTTAGATATAAAAGTCGTATAAGGCGATAAAAAATCGTTACACGATCGATCTTGCGGAGTTTGGCCAGCTCCAAAATCTAAAAAGTAATTCAGGATTATATCGTTTAGTCACGAATTCCCTGACCCATTTCGCAAGCAATCTGCCAAGAGAATTATGATTTTCATGCTGACTTGCAGGCGGCTTCTCATAGACCGATGCGCCGCGCCGCGCGGTTCGCTGGAAACAGGTAATACACGGAATACGATTTTCCGTCGAGCTAAAAAGGATATTAAAAACATACACAGGCTGACAAAAGAACTGTAACTTTCAGAGATAAATAAAACAAAACGAGGCAGACTGGAGCAGACTACGCGATCGCGACGAATTTCTCGGTTAATTAAACAATTACGTGCGATGGAATGCATGGAAAGCGATCAACGTTCTCTGCATTCTATTTTCATCGATATATCAATTTTAATTAACAATTGCATCGCTGATATTCGAATCAGTATCTTCTGTACCATTCTCTTGGGATCCGTTTGCATCGATACTCATAAATAATGTTAATTTTAATTGTTTATTGTACTGCTTGTATTTGAATTAGTCTCTCATATTTCATCGCTTTGACTCAAAGCGATCAAATTTAGACAACCTATCGTTAGGTACATCCTCAAGAACGTGTAAAACTATGCAATTATTCACTCATTGGTGGATGATAAGAATTTCTGTTGTTGTAGCCAGTGACGATGTGTTAAGACCTCCTTAATAATATATTCTATATATGAAACGCACTAATGCGGACTTGACATTTGAACGTGGACGTACTGGCAAAGCACAATTTACATCGTCATCGGTTTAATACCAATGGTTAAAGATTAATCGTTTCGGAACAGTGCTGCTCTATGTCGATATCTATTTCACAATAATCTGTTTCCTCTGCACTTTATATGATGAGAAAAAGTTTGTAAACGCACACCTCTCATCAAAAAAAAAATATTATCAAAAGTTCAAACTCATCGAGTTGGTACGTAAACGTCAATCAAATTGTCTACAAGATAATTGTTTAAAAAGCATACAAAACAGCCTGGCACGTGTTTGATCAGAATCTAATCTCGATTATGAAACGGATAACTTTTCTATATTTCATACCGTTTGTGGACAAGTTTCCCAAGGAATCCACATATACAACAAGGTAACACCCGAGTATTCTGTTGCTCCTCGAAATCGTTAACGATTTCTTCAAGTTTTCGACTGTATCTATTTCTCGACACCACCTGCTTCCGTCTCGAGAACGAATCGATAGGAAGTAAATCAAGAAGAAGCGAACAGGAGTTACGTCTAACAATTGCTCAATGGAATTCAATCCCAACGGTATGCTGGCAATTCGCACGACTATTTTCTCGATTTCTCTGTCTAGAATTACAGAACTGGTTCGCCAATTGGTTCTTGGGGAATGCTGAAATAATCCGTTGGATCATCTATGGACACCATTACAAAATATTCTCAATAGTTTCTTAAATTGAATCCTCCTCTATGAAGACTATTTTTTTCGAAACGAATCAACCTCATACCAAATATTGCAGTTTATGATTCATTCCCATTGAGTAAATCTACTTCAATATCTAATCTTTTCGAAACACCTAAGCACTTCAACTCTTCCAGTAATGAAAACTGATGACTAAGCAACTTCTACCGAGTAAACGTACTTCCACTCCTACTCTCTAAAAATGAGTAGATTAGACAACGTGGTTTCCCTTGCACCATTTTCCTGTACATGTAATGATCCTGATTTACGACTCCGTCCCAGTTTTTTAGGTCATCGTATAGAAACGTGTCTGTTTCATTTGAGATATTCCAAGTTTAGAATTGTTATCACGGCATTATCTTACTGAAAGTAGATAGTACTTAAAATTCTTCTTACGTAATAGAGATAATCGCAATTGCATCAATGCCAATGAACAAAACATTCGCCTGTCATGTTACATAATAGCTTATGAAAATAATGTGTTTCTTCACACAGTAAACAAATTACGCTGCGAAACAATGAAGATTTAAGGAATATTTTTCTTTTATTGTTCTATAATTTTTCCAAATAATAATTATTGTAATCAAACTTGAAGCAACGCTCACGTGATTTGATAGCGAAATCTGAAAAAGATACAAGAATTTCTTGAGCAATTACAAATGATTGATAATGTATTTCCATCTAGCATGATCAGAGTAATTGTGTCTCGAACCATAACTATGTGAAAAGGAAACCACAAGAGTTTACGTCATCGTTGTGCAATCACACTGTAACACATAGTGTAATATCATGGTTACTAAACGACTTTACTGCAACACATATGATTTCATTAATCTGTCTACCAAGTCTTCTTTATCATTATAACGACGTTATCAGTTGAATAGAATTACTTTAAATAATTTTGCGTAGTCATTGACACCTTCGAACGAATTTCATCCTCAACAAGGTACAAAAAAAGCAAATTTATTCGTAAGAAAAAAAAGCAAACGAATCCTTCGCTCGTTCACCTTGAAAGAAGCAAGTCGGAGATACGTATAGGAGAAGATTACTGGAACATTTATTTATTTCTACTCTCACGGAAAAATTTGGAATTTTTATTTTTCGTTCAGAATAAAAAACATCGACTCTCAAGAGCTGGCTTGAAGATTAAGATATTCGCAGATATACTAGTTTCGACTGTTGTCCTTACACGAACTAAACTAGCGGAGCTTGCGCAACAGCGATCAATTGATGTTTATTGTTGTCTGATTGCCATGAGTGACGGTTGGTAGAGTCGAATGATAGTCACGAACTGAGATTAGCGCGTTACTTATCGAAGTTGCGCGCTGGCATTGTGGTAGGAATTTCAAACTGAATAAAAGGTAGCGTTGGATCACGCGAACAGTTCAAACCTGTTGGAACTATACTCGTGAAAGATGGATCGTTTCGCTGGAAAGATAGCAATAGTGACTGGCGCTAGCAGTGGTATCGGTGCTGCGATCACGAAATCTTTGGTGGAACACGGTGTTAAGGTGGTCGGTCTGGCGAGAAGAGTGGACAAGCTCGAGGAGTTGGCTGCTAAACTGGGCAAGGATAAGTTCTACCCCATAAAATGCGACCTGACGAAAGAGGAAGACATCACAAACGCCTTCAAATGGGTCGAGCAGAAACTAGGATGTGCTTGCATTCTCGTCAACAACGCTGGAGTCATCGTTGCGGAACCAATCATAGGTAGAGAGTCACTTTCCTGGGAGCTTTATCGCTAGGAGAAAGCTAAAAATCAAAATGCTTGCAATTTAAAAAACTGGAGGGTTTATTTTATATGAATAGCAGGTATGGAAATTAATTCTGTGTCTTTGTAAGGTAAACTTGTTCTTCGTTTAAAAAGAAAAAGATTCTACTATCCTTGTTTAACCGACTGACTTCATACTTGAATTAAAGTTGTCGAGAACCTAGGAGGTTGCCAGTTTACTTAAATGAGAGTTATAAATGATTGAATATGAAGTCTTCCACAAGGTCGTTATTCTTCACTTCTTAATAGAGGTTTACCAGTCACATACAATTCAAGTTCAAGGTCTACTCAAGTCACCCAAGCGCCTAATCGTCTATGTACCCCTCTGTATAAAATCAAAAATTCATTTAATAAAGTTTTCCTATTACCAAGATGATATATACAGAGATAAACTAACTTTCTAAAAATATGTGTCACTATGTGTGCCTACGTAATTAATACTGAACGAGCAATCTTAGTGACGTATCATGCCACGCTAAGCTGAAGTGGATAATTGGTACTCCCGCGATTACACAACACACGTCGAGTTTCCAGGCTCGAGAAACTTGTTAGACACCCAACGAACATCTCTAGAATCTAAAATCTAGCTATTACGTTGTACACAATTCGTAACAAGGAAAATAGGCTCACTAAGAAATATTACCGAATCAGACTGTTACCAGCATCTATTGTTATGGTACTCGTTTACTCTTTTAAGATTCGATGGAAACGAGCAAGGAGTTATATTGTGCTTTCTGTTTCAGCCTCGTCCACCGAATCCTACTACAAAGTGTTAGATACCAACTTGATATCGGCAGCAATCTGCGCACGAGAATTTGCACAGGCTTTGAAGAAGTGCAACAGGCCTGGACACATAGTTAACATCAACAGGTATGTAATTACTCAGTCTACGATGAAATAAATGAAAACGCGAAATATGACAAAATCGAACAAAGTGAATTTGAAATATCATCTAATTACATACATATGGATATTTTTGCAGCATAGCTGGACACTATGCGGCAGCCTTACATATTCCAATTGGTATGTACGGGGCCAGTAAATATGCGTTGACGGGATTGTGCTCGGAACTGCGTCACGAATTTATTATGAACAAACAGAAAATAAAGGTTACGGTAAGATTTTATTTCCTCAACACCTTACCATCAAAAGTAATGTATTTAATTCCTTAGTGAAACTCTGTTCCAATTGTTCCAAAAATTGTTCTAATCTCACGATACGTTTATATTTTTCCAGAGCATCAGTCCTGGAGCAGTGCAAACAGAAATGTTTCAGAATGTGACAAACGCTGATAGCGATACCACTATATCGGTATTGATGGACAAGGACATCGCTGATGCAGTAGTTTATACCGTAGGGACCCCACCAGGTGTAGAGGTAAACATTGATAAATATATTCCGTTCAATTATATTAAAATTTTGGAATGTTAAAATATAAAAATATTGATCGTCCTTTCAAGGTCCACGAACTCACAATTATGCCACAAGGTGAAATCATCGGCATTCCAGCGACAATGGCAGATAAATATATCCAGTCTCAGGCTAAATAAACCTTTACGATACAATTCTTTATAATTAACGCTACTTTGATCAGAATCTAAAAACTTTGTAAAAAGTTAAATAAATTAAAAATGTGCTCTGCCTTAACGAGAAAATGCATTGTTATCGTTGCGAACTGTCATCCTAAAGTGATTTGTATAATATATTACGTCGCTTAGTGTTTTTTCTGTAACATAGTTATAATTTGAACTGCGCACCTCAAGAAAATAATGCAAAACGTGTAAACGAATAAATTACCCTGTCTAGGAACAAGATATTCAATCGAAACAGCATTCAATGTGATATATACGTATAGTATGAATATAAAGACGGAGAATTAATTTCTATACTTGTAATTAGTTAGAAGAACAACAACAATAAGCAAAAGTAGACCACTGAAATTCCTATATACAGATACATTACCCAACAGACTGTTGAACACTTTGGAATTTCTATAATAATTAATCACTGAAAATTTCGTGTCGATAATTAACGATTCTCGTTAGTCGTGCATATATTCAAGTGTTTCTCGTCATTTCAATGTGACAAGAATATGCATATCGCAAATTTTTCATTCGTATCGCAAGTGACGGATAACACGAATGCGATATAAAGGCAACGGAAAATCGCGTGGTCTAGTGCTCGAAGAACAATACCGCAACGATGGATCGATGGATTGGAAAGGTAGCGATCGTGACTGGCGCCAGTGCTGGTATTGGTGCGTCAACTGTGAAAGTCCTCGTGGGCTATGGTGTAAAAGTGGTCGGTTTAGCTAGAGACATGGAAAAGCTCGAGAAGATGTCCGCAGAACTGGGCAAGGATAAGTTCTACCCCATAAAATGCGACCTGAGGAAAGAGGAGGACATCACGAATGCCTTCAAGTGGGTTGAAACCAAGCTGGGTGGCGCTGACGTGCTCATCAACAATGCTGGGATTGCTACTTCGCAAATGATCATTGGTAAAAGAATCATCATTCACCTGGAAGAAAGGATTTATTTGTTTCTAGTGTCTATCCTCGTAAAGTTTGGAATATGTAAACCTTGTATTGCTTATTTTAATACATTGTATGAAGAAGACAAGTGCCTTGTGCATCGAGTACACATGGTGTGTTATGGATATACGCAGTCGATTCATAAAATTACTTCGGAAAAGTACGCCTTCCATGAAATTTAGTAACAGGAACAATATTTGAGATATTAGTTTTAAATATTGCTTCGTTAATCATACTTTCAAAGATATGGGAAGCATTTGCAATGTCGATGAGTACTACATATGCGCAATAGATAACAAATGGCACCGATTCTTATCGCTGTTCTCAATGTCACGAAATAGTCTCTTGGGAATACATTATTGGCTTAGACATTTTAACATAGAATAATTCGTGTTGTAAAATACCAATGACGATTTAATTTCTGTCCTGTCAAGATTTGACCCTATGACTCTATGCATGGTAAATCTGTAAAACCAATTTTTCCTTCTTAATATATATCCAATATCACCCTTATATATAGTATTTTCTTTCGTTACAGAGAACCCCACCGAGGAATACCGAAAAATATTAGACACCAACGTACTCGCACCAGCAATTTGTTCGCGCCTGTTCGCGCAGTCCATGAAAAAACGCAATGGATCTGGCCACATAATTAATATTAACAGGTACATACGTAGTTCCTCAAACATATACATAGGCAACTTAAGAACACGAAAAATATAATAAACCTCAAGGGAGTGTTTTTGAAAATTTGTAGCATCGTCGGTCACTTCGCGGAGAGTGTGTTTCAACCAATGGGCATGTACCCGGCCAGTAAATACGCTCTGAGGGCATTGTCCACGGAACTACGACACGAATTCATCAACTCTAAACTGAAAATAAGGGTCACGGTAAGATTTTCTAATAGTAGGTTTTAGCCATGATAGTGAATAGAATGACATGTCGCGTTCATATTCCGACAGAGCGTCAGCCCTGGAGGTGTAGAGACGGATTTGGTGCATTGTATACCCGATGAAGTTCTTAAACAGGTGAAAATATTGCACCCCAATGACATCGCCGACGCAGTAGCTTACGCATTAGGAACACCAGAAAACGTGGAGGTAAACGGAAATAAATGTATTGGCTTCGATTACGAGGGGTTTTCCTTTGATTTTAAAAGAGATGGGAACCTACATCCTCCAGGCTCCTTCTTTCAGTCTTCTGATAATTGGCAAACCCTGTTTCGTGAAAATCTTCACGAGGATTCTCTCTATTCTACACGATTAACATTATTTTCAGATCATCGAAATCACGGTGATGCCAAAGAACGAGTATATCTACGCTCCACCACCGAACAAATAAATTCACATTTCTAGGCAGCGTTGCAAGCTTCACTGTGTCAGATATCAAAGCTATAAGTAATTTGTCTGTGTACAAATAAAGTTGTGAAAATAAAGGAAAAAATAAAGGAGACAGAAACGTTTCCAAAAAAGTGTACGATACGTTGACTCCATCTACATCCTTTGAATATGTATTATATGTACATACAATATCCTGATCCTATCGTGTTCGTTATCTAATCGTCGAGGACTGTTGCTCAATTTGTACCGTAGGTCACGCGTCAAATTTTCTCGTAAATCATAGCTGCGAAGTTTCTCTAGTACTTGGACCCATTTAATGGTCATTAGAATGCAGGGATGAATGAAAAAGCAAGTATAAAACGGATGGAGCACCTCGCGGAGAAAATACTGTGTCTTGTGAAACGATAACGCGAACCATGGAGTTTTGGGCTGGAAAAGTGGCGATTGTGACCGGTGCTAGCGCTGGAATCGGAACAGCAACCTCTAAAGCGCTCGTAGGTCATGGCGTTAAGGTGGTTGGTCTAGCGAGGAGGATGGACAAGCTTCAGGAGCTGGCTCAAGAGCTGGGCAAGGATAAGTTCTATCCGTTGCAATGCGACGTCAGGAAAGAGGAGGACATCATAAAGGTGTTCAAGTGGATCGAGAAGACTTTCGGCGGAGCTAGCATTCTGGTGAACAATGCTGGAGTCATCTCTCTGTCGTCCGTTACAGGTAAAAGTAGGTTAAAATAGCGTTTGTCGCAACAACAATGTTCATCGAATAAGAAATCTTTCTTGCTTCCATGTAATCCAACCTTCCTGATGTACTTGATCCATGAAGAAATTGCTGTAGCATCAAGGTCCACTTGACCCTTGATCCTGGCTTTCTCCAGAGTAATCTAGACATCAATCTATCGTAATTTGTTTCTGTATCTCTGATACTTCGCTGCCTTACGTTACATCCTGTCAGGTTTTGTACGGTGTACATTTAATAAAAATTGATTCTTTCGTTAACTTTTAAAAGTACAGAAGAAGTTCCCCAGGTATCGGTACTGAATTATTCCACGATTCACAGAACGTCCGCGCCATAGCAGAAACGATTTTAAATTCACACAAAATCACTAAAAAAAGTATTGAATTATTCATCGACGAACACGTGTTGTTTGCTGCATTTGTTTTTATGACACAGGCTAATGAATATCTACGAAAGAAGGTTTTGCACCTGGAAATGTCTTTCATTTTTTGTTAACCTGAAATTATAAATGACCGATCAATCGAACAAATTCCTATTCCTTCTTTTGTTCGTTACATATTAATCTATTCCGTTCTGTTGCAGAAACGGCCACCGAAGAATATCGTAAAGTAGTGGAAACTAATCTGATAGCTCCAGCGATTTTTGCACGGGAATTTTCGCAATCGATTAAAAAACGCAATGTGCCCGGGCATATAGTTAACATTAACAGGTATGCAAGTATACAAAGTAATATGTAAATCGATTCGACTGTGTCACTTGTCGTTAACTTCGTCGTAAATTTTGACGAACTTTGTATAAGTTCAACATACGAATATCGAGTGACTTGAAAATGTAATTTCACTTGCAAATTAACTTCATTTAACGTTCCTACTTTCAAGAATAACTTGGACTTTTAAACTCAAACAAACTAATCTCGAAAACAAATCGAGGAGTACGTACGCTGACATGCACACATAATTTGCAGCATATTGGGACACTATGCAGATACATTCACCATTCCAATCGGCCTGTACGCTCCCAGTAAATACGGTCTTACCGCTTTGGGTACGGGACTACGTCATGAATTCATCATTTCTAAATTGAAAATAAAAGTTACGGTACGATCTCAAATAATAATCTAATATTAATTTAATTTAAAATAATCATTCAAAATATAACACCATTATTATCAACGAAACTTTCACGAGTAAGTAGCATACTATCATTTATCGTGTTTGTGTTCTCGACAGAGCGTCAGTCCTGGATTTGTGATGACAGAAATGGTTGGGCCCGTACCTAAGCATGTTCTTGATAATATGCCGATACTGCAAGATAAAGACATCGCCAATGCAGTGATTTATGCATTAGGAACGCCGCAAGGTGTAGAGGTAAGTAAACGAAAAATATACATCGCGTTCGATTGTAGAAAAAAATGATTGATATTCTGCACAGATCGTCGAGGTCACAGTAATGGCACAGAATGAGATCATTGGCGTTCCAGCAGCAATGAAACGACAATACATCGGCTCGAAGTAAACTTAATTAGATTTATAATACCGAAGAAAAAGACACCGCTTTGGAGGATCCTTCGTACTTCGTTATATAATTCAATCTTTGATTTTTGTTTGGCAAATACCGAATAAACAGGCATCTATCTTTTGTTTGTTAGAATAAATCTAATCTTAAGTTAGACACTAAAGAATTGAGCATAACACGCAACATAACTGGAATAAACAATTAGTCGATATTTGAACAAAAAACCCCAATTCCCGAAAAAATCATACTAAACAAATTCCAAAATTCCAGTCAACAATTCCCACAGAAAGATCTCTAAAGAACGCATTTCCTGATGCACGATGCACACTGACCTTCATTATACGCGAGTCGAGTAATACATTATTCAGATAAAGAGACACCGACAATCATTCTTATTTGTATATACTAAGCACGAGCAATCTCCAAGCAATACAGCACGCCCCACTCCGATTGGTGGTAGTGGCTATACTAAGCTTCCTCTACAGTAAGAGGAGCAAATACAAAATACACGGCGTCCCAAGGATCGTATAAACCTCTCGCAATCAGTTTACAGAACGGTACAGTGAAAGATGGATCGTTGGGTTGGAAAGGTAGCGATCGTGACCGGTGCCAGCGTTGGGATCGGTGCAGCGATCGCTAAATCCCTGGTGGATCATGGTGTGAAAGTGGTAGGTCTGTCGAGGAGGCTGGACAAACTCCAGGAGCTGGCCAAGGAACTCGACAAAGACATGTTCTACCCGATCGAGTGCGATCTCAGAAAAGAGGAGCACATCGTGAATGCCTTCGAGTGGATCCAGACGAAATTTGGCGGCGCTGACGCTCTTATCAACAATGCTGGGGTCGCTGATCAATCGATGATCATCGGTAGATGATTTCAACTTAATATTCGTGTTCATTCATTCGTTGAGGATACACGTTGCTCGCAATTGGCTATAACGCCTATAACTTAAATTAATACCCTTACATGTCGATGCATCCATCTCATTTATAAGCTTTTTAATTCCAGCATCTGTAATTCCAAATCAGTCTTGGTTCGAGAATCTTGTCGTACGTAGACTATGCACACGCGAACGCAACCGACGATAAACTTGATACGCGTTTATCGAAGTTGTTTTGCAGCGGTCACTGACCGCGACACGCTGACCTTCATTCTATTCAAGTATTATACACCATGCTCAAAAATTGGTGATCTCGCGCCACGTCTAATTCAACGCGATTGTTCGTGCTTTTTATTTTAAATCAAAGTGCACGTTGCCACGATTGGATGATGACGCAGTTCAAGTCATTTTCTAATAAACGGACAAATTTACGCTGATACGCCAATTTTCTGTTACAGAATCGCCGACGGAAGAATACCGTAAGGTACTGGACACTAATGTAATAGCCCCAGCAATTTGTGTACGCGAATTCACGCAATCTATCAAACAAAGAAAAGTGTTTGGGCATATAATAAACATCAACAGGTATAGACTTATACGACGTGTTGTACGTAAATCCGTTTTGACGAACCGAGTTCGAAATTCTAACTTTTGAATAAACAGAGCTAACTATAAACACGTGCATGTACGATTTACAGTATGGCTGGGCACTTTTCAGAGAGTATACATCTTCCAATTGGTATGTACGGTGCCAGTAAGAGTGCTCTGAATGCCTTAAGTACAGAAATCCGCCACGAAATTCTACAAGCTCAGCTGAACATCAAAGTCACGGTAAGATCTCGATTTCCAAAATAAAGGAGGCTTTAGGACATTGTTTTTTAACAACAACAAAAAAAAAAAAAAACATATTTGTATTTTAACAGAGCATCAGTCCAGGAGCAGTGATGACAGATATGTTGAGAGGAGTCGTCAAACTTCAATCGATCATCGATAAAATACCAACGTTAAAAGACAAGGACATTGCTGATGCTGTGATTTATGCATTACAAACTCCGCAAGGTGTTGAGGTAAATTACAAATTAAATTTAAAAAGATTACTCCACAGAATAAAGGATTTCCCGAGAGGAGCTTCTGGATTTTATTCTTTAATAGAACAGAACAGAGTTTCACGTGAAAGATGATGTTTAAACATTCACTATAAAACACAACAATCCTGAAGCTCCTTTTATTATTGTTTTGCTACGAATAAATAATCAACGGCTCTTCCAGGTCTATGACATCTTCCTCATGCCCCAAAATTCAGCACTTGGCTCTTCAGGAAGGGTAAGGATCAAATCTAGTTAGTTAATACTTCTCCGATTACCGTTAAGTGTAATTATACATTGTCTTTGTTTCATGTTAGCACCTGCAACCAATGGAGAAAAAGGACACGTCGCTAAATTAAGCTACAGAGAGTAAAATTGTTGTCACAATTATTTTTTGGAATTATTAAATTAGAGGCTAGAATGCATCGTACTCGACTGTATTCGTAAAATGCTATTAAAACTACTACTTATGAGTTTGCTAGTTTCATCATACAACGCGATATATGTAAGAGTAAATGATAAACGCAACTAGGAGGTATACGCGTTTTGCGAAATGAATATTGGTATTATTATATTAACTAATGGAATATATTCCACATACGTTATGTATATTTTTTGTATCCTTTTCATATAGTGGAAGTAAATGCCCTTCATCGAGGAAATTGATGAAAAACCCATTTAAAATTCGAATCATTTGCCTTGAATATCTGACATAACAATAATAAAAAAAAAAAAAAAAAAAAATGAAATCAGTCCTAAAGGCAATAAAAATAACATCTGACTTAAACTCTAAGCTTTGAAAATAATACCCTTCCCCTCATCTATCCCTCTTCTAATCACCTCATCTCAAATTTTCTTAACCTTGACCAAAATAAAACCTTGACCACAAAGTGAAATTCGGCCACAAAGGGACAAGTGGGATACAAATACTGAAAGTGAAAGAAAAAATGTACAGTCGTACAAATATATCGACTCATCCCATTGACTGAGCACAAAATGGACTATCTTATCGGAGATGGAGTTATCTCATCGAAAATGGAATTATCTCATATTGACAACAGAAATGACGCATTTTCCGTGTATAATATGAAGTGATCGTAGGACTGCAGCGACAGTCTAGAAACGACAGTATCGAGGAACGTCAGTATCGAGGAACGACAGTATCGAGGAACGATGGATTTCTGGAAAGGAAAGACAGCGATCGTAATTGACGCCGGCGCTGATATTAGTGCCGCGATCGCAAAAGCTTTGATGGAACATCATGTTAAGGTAGTTGGTGTGGCGCAAACGAAGAGCCAGCTCAAGGAAGTGGCTAGAAAATGGTGCAAGGATACCTGGTATCCTTTTGAATGCGATCTTAAGAAAAAGCAGGACATAGAGGAGATGTTCGAGTGGGTCGAAACTAAGTTTGGAGGAGCTGATATCCTCGTGAACAATGCTAAAATCGCCAGCATGACATCGATCATTGGTAAAACACTTGAAATTTATTATATCAGTATTTTAACAATCATACCTACGTGCAGCATTTCCTCATCGTTGTTTTTCTCCACAGTTATTATTTTTCCAACGTAAACGACTACTTTAAAAATACTTTACTTACAGAGGGGCCGATATCATCATACAAGGGAGTAATAGAAACAAACATATTCGCTCCTGCAATCTTAGCACGCGAATTTACCAAGTCAGTAGGACAACGTAACGCGTCTGGGCATATAATCAATATTAACAGGTGTCTACTCTTCGAATTCAGTTGTGTAACGATGCCACTTATCCTCGCGATAAATCTAGATCTGTATGAGCTCGTATCAATTGAATTAGAAATAAGATCAAAGTGAATGATCATAGTGACTGGGTACTCCAAAATGGGCTTCAGGATTTTCTTGTTTAACGCTAGATTTACTATAGAAATTTGAATAGAAAATTTGAATAAAAATCTGACAAGAAATCTCCGTACACCTTGTGTTAATAAAAAAATTCTAAAACATCATTCGGAGAACCCTTTATAAATTGAAATAGAAAATTGGGGAACACGCAATTTATTAACCGACTTTGAAATGAAGGAGGGTACTTAATTCGACATATATATTTTTATATTATAGCATAAATGGACGCTCTGCAGAAACCATGCAGATCCCACTTGGTATATACGGTGTCAGTAAATATGGTCTCAATGCTTTGGTAACGGAACTACGCCGCGAACTTATCTTGGCTAAACTGAAAATTAAAGTTACCGTAAGATTTGATTTTTTATAGAACCTCAACTTGTCACCTAAATTTCGGAATTTTCATTCACCAATTAACAATAATTCTAACATTCTCAAAATACGATCGAAATATACAATCAACGAATATTTATGGGACTGATTCACATATTCGCATTGTAACAGAACGTCAGTCCTGGAGCTGTGCTAACGGATACGGTTCCAATAGTATCTGGTGGTACCAAATATGCAATACCATTATTGCAAGACAAGGACATCGTTGATGCAGTAATTTATGCCTTAGGAACACCACAAGCCGTAGAGGTAAATAGTAAATATCGAATGTAACAAATGATAAATGTATCGCGTCTACTAGCAAAAATACTTTTCCTAAATAGATATATTGATTATTAACGTTGTTCCTAGATTCACGAAGTGACTGTTATGCCACAAGGAGCACCCGTGGAGTTCACCATACTAGACGGTAGGAACTTTACGCGATGTGTAATTAGACCTTTAGAATTATTTTATAAATAATCGGTAACTGTGCAATATTTATCTTTCTTATAGATTTTAGAAAGCTAAAAGTATAAAAATATAAGAATTTCTTTTATTACGTTCAAACAAAAGAAACGTAAAGAACTTGATGTGACTCATCTTTCTGATGAATATTGTATAGTTTTAATCGTCGATGAAATAACAATTAACCCACGTTAAGATGCAAGGAGACGTTAATATCGTACAATTTAGTACGACATCGATTTTTAGACAAATAAACGTGAAAGATTCTTAAAAAAACAACATTCTATTATTTCTTCCTCTGTTATTCCTTAACACCCGGTATGTATCCGTATCACGAGGCGATCGGGGTCGTCTTAATATATTCACGAGTTAAGATCGAAGGAAGAAACGGGAGCGACGAGCATCCCCCAAAAGAACGTCGAACAGCTTTGTAACTGCTGGACAAGGAAAAGTGTGATTGGTATTCGCGTTTTAAGCTGCATCGCGATTAAAGCGAGGCTCATTTATCACGTGTAATTAAACACGGACCTGGGACTCGTCCGTCACTTGCATTAGTTCCACTCGGATCCTTTGTGTCTCTATCGATTAATTGGTCTTAGAGGCAGTTCGAGCAAAGAGTAGTTTAAGAGGTGCTTGATGAAAGTTCGAAGGTGATTCCACGAACGATCGATCGACGAAGCCATAACTGCGGATTGTGGAACTCCAATTTTTTGTTCGACACTTCCGCGATCAGGCCACGAGTAGGTTTTAGATTTATCGCCTCCTTTAACTCAATATTTAATCGAGTACTAGCGTTCTATTTATGGGCCATTCGATATTGAATATTACATATTTCCTAGACGAAGAAATATATTTACTCAACGTATCGTCCATTTTGTTTTATTGGCAATAAGAGGACACAATTTGGTGAAATCCTGTTGATTTTCACCCTGAACTAGTTTCCAGAGTATTAAGTTGGCATGACGAGAACCCATCTCCCAATAGTACTTCTATTGAATCTATTAGGTGTGGAAATTAACTCTGTGCGACTGTATTCGATCGTTTATTATTAATTCTTTTTGGTAACTCTAGTTTAAGTAGAAATATTCACTCACTACGTTAACCAATTTTCTAAGTTCTAAGTTCACAGACACACTAAGTTTGGTATCCATAAAAGTTTGCTTGTTATTCTGCTACTAACAGAAGAAGCAAACAAAGGCATTGAAATCGATATTACTGTTTATTCAGTTTGTGGATCGATAGATGCATTCCTAAATTGATTTAAATATATCTGAATATTGATTTGTTTCGAGTACTTCGCGTTAATTGTGACAGACAGCGAACCCGTGATATATATTTGAATATTTATTCGAATGTTTGAATACTAATTCGACTCAAGTGTTTATACCCCAGGTGACTAAAATTGCAGACTTGAAGATTGAAACTCTAGCACAGCGTGAAATTCATTTGAATATATCGGTATATTTTTTCGTACAATTTGTTCCTCGTTAATAAATAAATTAAAAACACGACTTTATAATTCTAATTCTAATTTCGATTTAATTAGTAACGAACGAGAAGCGAGAAGTTTGTGTGTTATCCGTCATTTAGATTTTTATCTGGACAAGAATTTTCCCATCTCTGTATGTAGTTCACCTTTTATATGCGGTCAGCGGAGTGTGTCGAAAATGGTGTCGGTTCAATGTTCCTTGAGGCCTTGCTGCATTTGCAATGAATGGAACGAATTCACGTCGATCAGATTTGGTCACGGTCAAAACGCAAACATTCATTCGGAGATTCATGGCCTGTTGCAAAATTGTAACTTTCGAATACGCTAACTACTTCCAGATTCTCGTAATTTCTATATTCTGCATCGATACGCAGGCATTAAAGAATGCCATTCGTAAATTAAATCTGAACTCATTATTTCAACCATGTTAACGATATAGTTCTACTAACAACTAAATACAACTTAAAATTTAATTTTTTATCAAACTAGAGCGTCAAGTAATAAATACTCGTTGAAAATAATCTAAATGTAAATAAAGAGACACAATTTATTCACCTCAACCACATACCTACTGTTCCAATCCAACATAACTCGGAGGGCCAGCATGTGAACATGTAAATCAAACCTATTAGATGTTATCCCAGATTCTATAACCATAAAAGAATCCCCGGTTTATACATCGTATAATTACTTAGCTCATCCCTCAGCCTCTCATGACGCCCCCTCCATCCAGAAATCGTGGCCCGCTGTAATTAGACGCCTAAGTTCCTCTGTATCACAGGGAATACTCTGGAGAGTCCTCCTCCCACGACCACGGGATGATCCTTGCGAGGAAATGCTTCATAGTCCTTCCACGTGTCACGCAAGATTCGCACAGCTGTTGAATCTCTGGTACGTGTCTTGATCGCCTCTTAAAAGATATTTACGTTCAGTACGAATCCCTCTCGACGATTAAAGCCTCGGATTACTGCCTTATTACTTCGTTTATTATATCAATATCCTTGAGCGAGTCGCGGCTGATTACCACGCGAGATTTCCAGGAATTTCAACGGCTCGGGTTGTCCTAGCTATACGGTATCACCCTTCGAGGCTCGAGCGAATGCTAATTTATTTACGTTTAGCGGTCCAACGGTGACCTGGACACGTTTGAAATAACGTTATTCGAAATACTGAAAGCTTCTCCAAGCGGTCCTTTAGGATTTTGAGTTTAATGTACATAGTAGATCCGTTTCTAAAAATTGTTAACTATTTCTGTGAAACTAAAATCGAATAACAATTATTAAAGTGTAGCATTCGAGGTGGTTAAAAAATTGGACAAAACCTCGATCAAGGGAGAACGTTGAAGAGCAATTAATAATGCCAAAAAACCAGTAGAAACTAGAAGAAATCGACGTGTACGGAGATCGTAATCAACGTTTCAAGTATTTTTGCAGTCTGTGGTCGTTGGCGTGTATCCAGACGTATCTGATACACTCCAAGTAATTGAGAAGGCAGAAAATTCAAAGCGTATAATGTATTTTGGTAAAATTTGAATAATACTCCGAAGTTTACGAGCAACCAACGTTGGAGATAATTTTGCGGTGATTGAAACCTCAGACGAGAATTTTTAAAATATACATCAGAAACAAAAAGACAGATCTTAGTAATCGTTAATTTGATTAATTATTTTTAGCGTAAGGCGTTAGAAAGGAACGATCTAATAATAAATAGCGACGAATCATTGATTTTTCTTCCCATATTCTGAAAAAAGTGAAAAGTAATAATTTGTGCTCGTCGAAGAATTGATTACACCTTTTGAAAGCTCACGTTTCCAGTCACAATCCACTCACGTGCCAATAGAATATTCTACAATGCACTTTAGAACCATTCCCACTTTCACCGAGATCGAGACGTGATATCGAAAGTGGAAATATTTCTCCTAGGTATATTATTAAAAAATATACTATCTGATACGAGCAGTGTTCGAGTATTCATGGAGTGAAAGACGATTCCACCAGTCGAAAAGGATCATTGAAGCCCCTTCTGCAAAGTCCTTTACAAGAATCTACACGTTTTTTGCTTTTAAAGCGGCAAGAAATATTCCAAAGTACACCCCCATCGTTAGCAACCTAATCACGTCCCTGAATAATTGTGGCGTAAATAACTACGTAGCCAAGGTATAGCAATATTTATCAATCTTTTAACATTGAAACGCCCAGTTGGTTTGTGTCCTTTGCTTGAAACTACCGCGATTACGCAACTGATTACCTGGTATTTCCAATAACAATTGGGCTAGCCGAGGTTTCTCTGCATTTGGATAATAGAATTTAGAAAGCGAGAGGCAGTATTTGAACGCTGAAATTCCATGGACCACTCATTGACCGCGAAGAATTTCTACCCAGGTATTTAATATTTTTTAATTTGCTAACGTACCATAACTTCTTAAATCGTATACTAAAATTGGATTTCAATATCTAATAAATCGTTACGTCTTGTTTCCCCCTCGTCGTTTATTGCTCGAATAAAATTTCAATCGTGTTTGGTCGTAACCAGTCCAAACAAGCCCAATGGAAACTGCCATAATCGGAATCTACTAATCTCTTAAACTAGACTGTAATATAGTTGAATTGCGCTATTCAAAAGCGAATTTCAATGCTAAGGGGAAAAGTTTCAAACTGTTAATACCACGATTTTCCACAAAAGAGTGCCACGGGCATTGACTTTATAATTCCCGCGATCTGGACCGTGGAACAAACAAAAAGAGACCCGCGGTTATTCCAAACGCGGTAGTTGACTTAAACTAAAGGCTGACGTAAACTTATTCAGAAACCGCGACTAGCCAGAGCTATCGCCGTTCATAGTTTGCATTTTGCGGGGCTGCCAGCTGGAAATGAATTGAAATGGTTTGCATTAATAGAAACTCATTCCGTGCGACGTGTAAGCCGAAAATACAGACTTATTTCTCGTACTTAAAGCAGTTTCTTCATTTAAACAAAAATTAACGAACCTTATTTACGTCCTGAACTTTAAGAAATTTTCGTAATAAAAATTGTATAATAAACCATCCGTATTCTTCTTGCTTCGGAAATTTGTTAAATTAATGTTTAACCAAAGTTCGTCGAGCAACCATGATTTTTTTCACCTTCGAGTTAATCGCGGCTTGGATTCGATAATATATTTTCCAGCGTGCTCGATCACGGCTAAAATACAAAAACTCTTCTCGAGGTTGCGCGAACGGATTGCTTCGCCGTGAATAAAACAAATCTCAGTCTCTGTTGAACTGGTGAACAAGAAAGTGTGCTCTATTGTTTCCCGAGGTGAGCATTTGCGCCCTGATTATGTGCACTGTGATTCTCATAAACTTGCACGATACTAATCGACACGATAGAAATGGGAATATCAAATTAACCACCAACTTTTTTAACGTCAATTACGTTCGCTTAATTCATACCATTTATTAACACGGTATTTTCTACTTTTCTCTCGCTATTTTTTATTTTTCATCCTACTCACGTCTTCTGCTGACGTTGAATCTCATATGAATACCGTTCTCCCGTTCCATGATTATGGCACGTTCACCTAGAAGCTGTTGGTAACAAGGAAACATTTTTTTTCAACGTTCATTTACCACGTACCGTTCGCAAACGCGTTACAAGTATGAAATCTAAGGGCGACCTGGTAGCTAATTGCTGACTAAGAAAGTCGTTAGCAGAAATGCGATCTATGGCGATCCATCTGTTAATCAGCATACGCTTTTTCTAGCAGCGTAATGAGGAACGTTGCGCGTATGGTTGCCTCGCTGGACGTGTTC